AGGGGGGGGGGGGAGGGGGATCCGTTAATCCGTGAAAACGGGGACGGTAGGAAGAAGCGCCGGCGGGTTCCGCGCGAGCGATTATTACGCATAATCGACGCGCGTTATCGCGTCTCCGCCGATATTAACGGCGCGACAGACCGGTGCCATCGGTCGCGATAGATTCGATTAGGTAGGCGGAAATGATTTAGCAGTCAGTAACTGGCCGCTTGTCAACAGACAGAGCGATAGGGGAGGAGGTGAAAGCGGAGGGGGCGACCAGAGGCGTGCTGTACGTTTTGCGCGCGGCAATTAACGTCCTCGTGGCGCTGAACCGGCGCGGCATGCGCCATAAAAGTAGCATTCAAAGTAGCGGTGGTCGGCGCCAGCCGACTCTTTTCCTACCGCGCGCTCGCGTGAGCATTCTTTATGGTCCATGCTGTGCACATGCCAGGCACCACCACCGGCTGCTGAATCGGCTCAATGGGGATCGACGATCGACGATCGACCGGTTATTTTTATTTTATGCCCGTTCTCGCGAGAGAAAGGGAGAGAAGGAGGATACGCGCCGCGCCGGTACGCACCGGATGCCTCGTCGAAGCGCGAAAGGACTCCTGTGCGAGGAGTTTTATCCTCCCCAGCCCTCGTGTATTGAATACATTCGGTTTTATGTCCTGCGAACGAATTGTACGGCGCCAGTCCCAATGTGCGGTATACAATACGTATTCTTAAGAGCTCAAAGAAGTTCTCGAGGAAGGCTCCGCTGTTTTTCAGGCGCTCCGCGAATTATTCTTGACATAAAATATATCTAGTTTCCTAAGGGAAATGTTTCGAACATTTTGAAAGGACGTGACAATTGCATCGGATAAGTTATTAATTTTATAATAATAAATTTCATAATCAATCTTTTTATCTTTTGAGTATAATAGTTATTGGACAGGCGAATTTGTTTTCACTTGCTTAGAACAAATTATCTCACTTTTCGCAAAGGCGAATACTCGTTTTATAAGAAGGTAAAAAAACAATTTAGACTTTGCATAGAAAAAAATATTCATTCGTCAACTGTTATAAATTGTATATTTTATCTTCATGTGCTCGCTTTTTATAAATAATAAAAAGGATTCTACAATCGCGCGGTCAAACGCGCACATATTTATGGCAAATGTTAATCTTTTATTACAGACACGGACATAGTGCAGGATCTGCCGGCGCAGTTGACTTCGGAGGAGGAGGAGCGCAGCCTGAAACGTAAGCTTCTTTTGAATATTTCCGAAAACTCGATTATCGCGTGACTTTAAGGTTCACGTGTTTCGAAACTCGTATCGGGAACTCGGAAAAAGATACATAAAGATCGCTGTCTGCGCACGATCGCGTATAACGTTCCAATTATCCACCGGAAACGATAGTGGTTGCGTTTCCTTCTGAATTTTCACTGGTTTGCAGATTTCGGCACCCTGTTGACCGGCAAGACGACGCAATCGCTACGTCGCGACGATCCGAATCCGACGTCGGTGTACAACAGCGCGTACAACTACTTGGCGACCGGTCGCTTCACCTTCCACCGCAAGAATCTTTATTATTCGTTCCATCTGTCCGCGTCGACGCCGCGGCCGCACAGCATACAGTTCGTCGACGGTTCCGGTAGTATTTTGGAGGAGCAGACGATCGATCCGATCGGCGGCGCTTACCAGAACGCCACCGGCAAGCTGTGCGGTGTGTGGCGACGCGTGCCGCGCGATTATCGGAAGCTGCTGCGCGAGGAACGCCTGCACGTGTCCTTCCTCTGGGAGCCGTCGTCGAGCCTGTCCGGCCAGCTGTACCGGTACCGCGCGCTGTCGACCGAGCAGTTTTCTTCGCTACTGGAGCCGACGATGGGCGTGGACCGGTCGTTGATGTCCGGCGCGGGCGCGACCGCGATCGTCTCCGCATCGTCGACCTCGGCCCCGTCGATCCACGTGTCGCTCGTCTTCAACGGCCTCTTCCTGCCGAACGACGTGGCCGATATTCCGTTGGTCGTCCAGCTGGAGCATCAGGAGAAAGATTACATAGTTCTGCATGAGGAGATAATAGTGCGCAAGCCGTCGAACGAGCTGAATTTCGGCGAAGTCCGCAGCGCGCTCTCCGGCGCCGATTTGCGTCTGTTGACTCGAGGCAAGCTGTCGATCAGCATAATGTCGCGCAAGGATCCGCAGGCCCTTCGACTCACCGGCGCAGTCGGTCCGCGCGCGACCTGCGACATGTATCAAACGCTGCTTCTGTCGGAGTCGCCGTCCGTGGCGTCCGGACTGGCCTGGGCCTATCTGGATCGCATTGGCGCGCTGCACTACGGAGTTCAGCTGATAGGGCTCGAGGAGGAGAGCCCGCTCGTAACGCTGGTGGACGAGGGCGGCAAACGGCGGATGGAACTCGAAGATTTGACGCCTTCGTTGGTCGACGGCTTCGCGAACGGTTCCCTCGACCGGCCCGGACCGCGACTCCTGCAGCCGCTCTTCAACGAGGAGCTCTCCGTGGTCGCCGCGAGCCATCTTGGCTCCATTCTGCGCGGCAGACTTCTCGGCAGACCCGTCGCGGACGCCAGAGACACCGCCGCGCCCGTGCTGCTGCGTAGATTGACTCAGCAGCAGTTAAGTCCCGGACCGGTCGGTCTCATATGGACAGCGGTGGATCTAGACTGCTCGCTGCACTACGAGCTGGAGCTCGCGGGCTTCCCGCCTTCCGCGCAGGAACCGCGAACGTTCCGTTTGTACCTGGAGACGATGCCTCTGCTGGCGCAGGGAGCTCCCGTCGCCAGAAGGCTTCTGGAGGAATTTACGGGATACTCCTTGGAGGGTTCCGTCACCGGACTCACGCCGATCGAGCTCTACAGGATCGAGTCGGGCATCGGATTCCTGGAAGTGACGGACAAGCAAGCCAGTTATATTCTCAAGGCGCCGTTCAAGACACGGGCGCCGTTCAGCTGCCTGCCGCACTACGCCGACAACGACGTCGCCTCCGTGGTGGCGTACAATCTGCAGCCGCCCAGATCGGATATCGAGACCGGCGCGTGCTTCCACGAAATCAGGTTCTACGAGGAGGGCACGCAGTGGACGTCGAGCGCGGATCCGTGCTCGATGTGCCATTGCTATCGCGGCTTGGCGCAATGCGACACGGTGCCCTGTCCGACGGTCTCCTGCGCGCCGGGAAAACAGCTGAGGCAGCCGCCAGCCGGTCATTGCTGTCCGATTTGCGTTGGTGAGGAAATTTATTCACTTATTTATTAACAGGAAATATAAATTCTTTTACACACGAACATAAATATCTGCGCGAGTGGAGGAATGTGTGAAGTAAAATATATAAACATATGGGAAACGATGTTTGATGAGAGAAAGAGAGAGAGAGAGCATAATGCTCGACCGTGGCAAATTGCAAAACAAGTCTGCAATATTCCGCTTAACCGTTTGCAAGTTTACAGTTTCCATTTATATAACCAAATTCGCTGCACTGTTGCCTGAACATAACATTACTGCCTTTTAATAATTCGTGAATAATATTTAGCGCTGGCGACCGAAACTAACGCAACAATCAAGAGCAACATCACGAGAGGCTGTACACTGGCCGGACAATATCATCTGGCAGGATCGTCCTGGCATCCGTACCTGCCACCGGTGGGATTCGATACTTGTGCAGTTTGCACTTGTGACGTAAGCTTTTATTCTTCTTCGTTTCTATTAGAATTGTTTAGAATTACGGTTAAGCATTCGCGAAATGTTCAAATAATGTGAATGAATTTTTTACCCATATGTCAATTTGTTTGAGATCAATTTGTTGACGACGCCGCGTCGTAAAACACAAGATGCTTTTCTACTTGCTACATATTTTTTTCGACCGATATGCCGTGCTTTAATTTTCGAGATATTTCGCGACGATTATTTTATTGCGATCTTACATCGCGCGCGCGGAAAAATCTGTGAATATGCCGCACCGTCTAAAGAATGCGGTTACGAAGTCCGGCGAGTACGTAATGAGTTTAATTGAATGATTCAGCGGCAAGATTTTCTAAACGATTGCAATTTATTAACACACAACTGTTTCCTAGTCGGTTTGACACACCGTACAAAAGTCGCTCGTGAAAATACTTGGCGTATATATTTGGAGAACGGCAAAGGCATTTCTTTACGACAAACGGAAACGAACGCGTGTACGTTTCTTCGACTACGTTCAACGTGCGGTCAGTACGTCGCTAAAGCTAAAACAAGATTTGCAAAGTTGAAAAAAAAAAATTTGGTGAAAAAATGAGTATCTGCAAGATGCGATACGATAAATGCGCCATACACGAGGCGTGACCGAGAGGTCAAATCACCTGTCGCGTTCGCAATTTATATCGGAAATCCATTTGTCTCGCAGGCTGTCACGCTGGAGGTGAAATGTCCGCGGGTGCAGTGCCCGCCGCTCGAGTGCGACGAGAAGGTCGCCTTCAGGCCGGACAAGAAGGCCTGCTGCAAGCAATGCCCGGCGACGACGCCTCGCAGCAACGCGGCCACCACCGCTGCGAGCGATACCGCGCACCTGCCGAGGGATCAGGCCTTACCGCCGACGCGGCGCACCGCCGAGGAGATACTGTCGTCCGGCGGCTGCAAGTCACCCCTCGGCACGGCCTACGAGAACGGCATGGAATGGCATCCGCGAGTGCACTCGCACGGCGAGATGAAGTGCGTGAAGTGCCGCTGCAAGGTGAGAGAATCCGCTTTGCGAAATCTTTGAACGCGGTGGAGAGAAAGATACGCGCGAATCGATCGTCATTGAAATAATTCAGCGTCGTTCGATCGACGGGCGGCGTCGAGGAACGGCTTTGGTCGCGAATCGTTTGCAAAACGCGGCTTATTTATGAATAAAACATTCTCTCACGGTCTCTTCATTAGGTGTCCCTAATCGTCTTAATGGAATCGACGCGGGACGCGGAACGCGGTTGCATCTTGTTGCCAAGCTGAGAAATCCTAGAACTCGCTTCACTTCTGTATCGTTACTCATTCATTCGCCGATAGTTGCGGCACTCGCAACGTTGCAATATCCAGACACGGGCACGACGAGAAACCTTTAAGGAGAAAACCTTTAACCGGACTTGCTCGCCTGGCCCGACCATTATAGGGTCCATCCATTACGATGAAAATGGAACGCCGCGGCCTCGGCCGGCTCGTGCGTCGCGTCGCGTCGCGTCGCGACGTCACGAGACGGAGCGAAAAATAATCGTCTCGATTGTGAGAAGCGGATTTTGTATTCGAACGGACCTCGTTGCACCGGTTCTTCCCGGCCTTTCATTTTTATTGCTCGCGTTCGGTCTTTTTCGTTGATAGATAAATATCGCCTCGCTAAATATATCGAAAGTCTGTTCTCTTTAGCCGTACTATATACATCTTCCGAGAAAGAGAGAGAGAGAGAGAGAGAAAACGGGAGCATGAAAAACACAAACAAGTATAAAATGTGCTACTAAAAAAGAAAACGATGAAATATTTGATGGGTTTAGTTCGCACTTGCGAAGAGCTAGTTTTGGAAATTTTGCGCAATCTGATTTCTTTCAATATTGAACAAGCGCTAATTTATATATAAAGTATATACAGAGATGTATATTGTATATCGTGGTTAAAGAATGAGGAATCGACATAACGTGGAACGAATTGTTGAGCCGTTCCGCGGGATAAATAATCCGCCGTTCGTGGCTCGCATTCCGCGTGTTATTCGCGTGATACGCGAGCATTGTTCGACGAAGGAACGCGCGGTAAACGTAAATGGTAATCGTAACGGGGCACCGTTTCCTTCTGTGTTTCAGAACGGCGAGGTCAGGTGCGACAGGAAACGCTGTCCACGGTCGCTCTGTAACTCGATCGCGCATCAGATGAAGCGTGGCGAGTACGTGGCGGACGCCGATGACTGTTGCACGGTGCAATGCCGGCGCGCGCGACGCCACCATCGCAACAATCATCATCCGTCGTCGCGGCGCTCCGTGACGCCCCGCGAACTGAGCTGAGTCCGATTTGTCCTGGGAAAGAAAAGTCTGCTCCGGTCTGCACGAGGAAGCTCGCCGTGAGCCGCACGCCGTGGTCATCGTCGGATGATGACGGAACCAAGTCGAGGATCGTTCGTTGCGATCGCATGCGCCCGCTACATCTGTCGCGCGATCGAGCGACTGCGAGTCTTGGAAACGAAACGAAATCAAACGAATGGCTGTACACGTGTGTATCGAGATCGTGGGAGCTGGACAGATATATCCAAGGTGAGCCAATTCAACAACGGGGGAAGGAAAGAAAAACAGAATGAGACAAACGGAAAGATCGACGACGG